TAAACACTTAGTGACTATCCTCAATGTGCGTACCCAACATCACAAATGAGAACATTTGGTCTACATCTTTTTACAAAGATGACTATCATTAATTTGCATTCATATTGGCCATACACATGGTAGCACCATTATTGCTACTGCGGGATCTACACTAAGTAAACACTTAGTGACTATCCTCAACGTGCGTACCCAATTCGTTTGTGAATTGACTAAGGTCTACATCATTCTTGATGACTACCTTAAGACGTGTTTATACAACTTGCATAATTATTTGGCATCTACTGTTAATATAGACTATACCCAATTTGAGGTCTACACTTTTATGGTGACTGCCTCCATTATTTTATTATGCACATGAGATATTTACACCATTAATAATACAAGATTTATCTTGTCACTATCTTGCATCCCATAATTACAACACACCATAACATTTTAATAACTTAAAATATTTCGATGGTTTGCCTCGTGTAGGATCAATGACCGTCAAAGAGTTTGATTTGCTTGCTCTAGACAGCCACAATTATCCCACATGGGTTGTGGACGTAAAGGTTAGTCTTGCGTCCCGTGGACTTTATCGAGCTGTGTTACCACCCAAAGAGGGTGTTACACCTCTTGATGATCAACATGTATACACGGCCCTATATCTCATTAGGAGCCATATTCATCCTGATCTTAAGGCTGAATATTTGTTGGAAGAGAACCCACGAAATCTATGGAATTCTCTCAAGCAACGCTATGAACAACAAAAGTCACTTGTCCTGCCTGCGGCCAAATATGAGTGGACGCAACTGCGCTTACAGGATTTTAAAACTGTGAGTGATTACAACCATGTTGTTCATAGAATTTGCTCAAAGTTGCAATTCTGCGAGAAAGAACCTACCGATGCGGATAAAATAGAAAAGACTCTGTTTACTATGCTTCCCTCTGAAAGGATTCTTCAACAACAATACCGTGAAAGGCGTTTCTAGGTTTATTCTGAGCTTATACAAACTTTACTTAAGGCCGAAAAACATTCTGAACTTATGGTTTGGAATAATCAGCAGCGCCCCGTAGGGTCTGCTCCATTGCCTGAAGTACATGCTTACACTCAGAATAAACCCAAATTTGATGGTGGACTTTCTAAGATCCATCCTTAGGGAAATTCCAAGAAAGGTAAAAAACAACGCAGACGCAATAAAAAATCCCAAATTCGTGTTTCCAACAAGGGTAAGAACATTTCCAAAAACAGGAATGACAAACCTGTGTGTCAGAAGTGTGGTTGTTATAGCCATATTACAAAGAAATGTTGTACCCCCAAGTCATCTTGTTGATCTCTACTTAAAGTCTGTGGGTCGCGGACGTGCTGCACCAAGACAGAAGTATGAAGCCCACTTCAACATTCGACCTGACACCACCAGGAATGAGGCTAGTTGTTCACAACAAGTTCCAATGGAACCAAGCAGCAACAACATACGAGGAGGCGAGGATCTTGTTGATACGGGGAATATGATCGTGGAATATGCATCCAACGATATATTTGGAGACTTTGAATAGGCTCCCAATCCCTTAGATTCTAGTGTCTTTATGTCCTAGTGATTATAATAGTTAAAATAATTCATGTCCTATGTGTTGTGAATATTTAATAATGTCATCACTATTTGGTTTGAATATCCAATAAATGTAATGAACATATTTGATATTCAATAAATAAAGTATGTACTCTATATATTATCAAAGAGTTTCATATCAAATTATTTATTTATATATAGTTTCTACGGGGGTCAATCTGACGGAGGAGGAATTATGCCTAGTGGACAGTGGTACCACTAATTCTATACTTAAAGAAACAAAATATTTCCAAACTCTTAAAAAAGACAAGGATATGTTTTGACAATCGGCGGGCGCGATGCTACAATAGTTGGCTCTGGTCGTGCCACTATTGTACTCCCCATGGGTACCCAAATTACAATTTAGAATGCATTATTGTATCCCGATTCAAAGCGTATCTTATTAAGTTATAGAGATATCCGTCAAAATGGTTTTCATATTGAAACCCGTGATGACAATAATGAGGAAATTCGCCTCGTTACTAAAAATAGCGGATACGGCAAACGAATTGTTGAGAAAATTCTCTCTTTTCCGTCCGGATTGTACTACACATACATCAAACCCGTACCGCATGTTGCGTATAAGGTAATTTTTCAGAATGTTGACGCATTCAAAATTTGGCATGAACGCCTTGGTCATCCTGGTATAGGGATGATGCGAAAAATTATCAGCAATTCTAATGGTCATGAGTTAAATACTGCTAAATTCCTAAAATCTTCAGATTTTATGTGCACTTCATGCGCTATAGGGAAATTGATCGTACGACCATCGCCCGTTAAGATCCAAAATGAGCAACTAAACTTTCTTGAACGCATTCAAGGAGATATTTGTGGCCCCATACAACAAACGTCTGGACCGTTCAGGTACTTCATGGTTCTAATAGATGCATCTACTCGATAGTCTTATGTGTGTCTTTTGTCCACACGTAACCATGCATTTGCAAAAATTATTACTCAAGTTATTAGACTTAGAGCACATCACCCTGAACATTAAATTCAATCAATTCGAATGGACAATGCTGCTGAATTTTCCTCAAAGGCTTTCAACGATTATTGTATGGCTTTGGGAATTTAAGTTCAGCACTCTGTCCCATATGTCCATACACAAAATGGTTTAGCAGAATCTCTTATTAAGAGAATTAAACTAATTGCAAGACCGTTATTACAAAATTGCAATCTACCAACTTTATGTTGGGGTCATGCAGTCTTACACGCTGCTGACTTAATTCAATTGCGACCAACTGCATATCACGCAGTCTCCCCATTGCAATTAGTACGTGGGAATATGCCAAATATTTTCCATCTGCAAAAATTCGGTTGCGCTGTATACGTACCGATCTCACTGCCTAAGCGTATGTCTATGGGTCCACATAGAAAACTTGATATTTATGTGGGATATCAATCTCCATCAATTATCAAGTACCTCGAGCCTCTTATAGGGGACTTATTCACGGCCCGATACGCTGACTGCATATTTAATGAGGACCATTTTCCGACATTAGGGAGAGACTTCAAGTATCAAAACGAATGCCAGGAAATCATCTGAAATGCCCAAGGCATTTCCCCCTCAGATCCACGTACTCTAGAGACTGAACAACAAGTTCAGAAAATCATAAACTTGCAACATATTGTAAATAACATGCCAGAAGTATTTACTGATTATAAGGGTGTCACTAAATCCTCTTATCCTGCTCGCAATGCGCCCGAAAGAGTGGAGGTACCAATAAAAACCATTCAACTCCCACTTTCAAAGAAGAGAGGGAGAAGTACGGCCGCTCCTAAGAATAATGCTACAAGTAAGCGTCCGAGGATATAGAGGGATAGATCCTCCAAATCAGTAAATCCAAGCCAACCTCAAGTTGGTAGACACCCAATAGTGAATAAAAATCCATCATCAGAACCAAATCCACAACCCAGATCAACGGTGTATCCAAATTCTGATTCTGGGATATCAGAACACCCTGACTCCATGGTTTTGGGAAATGTTGAGTCAAATAATAGGGTGAAAGAAATTTCCATCAATTACATAGATTCTGGAGAATCATACGATCGTAAGACTACTATTGTCGACATGTACTTCTCCGCAGCAATTGCAGAAATCTTTCTCAATGATCCAGATCCTAAGACCATGGCAGAGTGCAAAAAGCGCTCGGACTGGGCTCAATGGAAAGAAGCAATTCAAGCTGAGATAGCTTCGCTCACTAGAAGAGGGGTATTCACATCTGCAATACCTACACCTTCCAAAGTCTTTCCTGTAGGCTTTAAATGGGTTTTCGTCCGGAAACGGAATGAGAACAATGAGGTGGTGAGATATAAAGCGAGGCTAGTAGCACAAGGGTTTACGTAGAGACTCGGCATTGATTACAATGAAACCTATTCTTCAGTAATGAGTAGAATTACTTTCGGATACTTAATATCATTGGCAGTTCAAAATCATCTATCTGTGCAGTTGATGGATGTGGTGACAACATATCTATATGGGTCACTTGATTCAGACATATACATGAAGGTTCCCGATGAAATCCAAATTCTGAATCCAAACGCAAATCGCAACATGTATTGTGTAAAACTACAAAAGTTATTATATGGCTTGAAGCAGTCGGGATGAATGTGGTACAACCGAGTGAGGGAATTTCTTCTAAAGAAAGGATACTCTAACAATGATGATTGCCTGTGTGTTTTCATTAAGAAATCTCGAATGAGATTTTGTATTATATCCGTGTATGTTGATGATTTAAATATCATTGGTAGCCCAAAGGATATAGATGAAGCACGCAAACATCTAAAAAGGGAATTCGAGATAAAGAATTTGGGTAAGACCAAGTATTGCCTAGGCTTACAACTTGAGCACCGTTCTTCAAGGATTTTAGTGCATCAATCAGCCTATATCCAGAAAATATTAGAGAAATTCAATATGGATAAATCATACCCTAATAAAATTCTGATGATTGTTCGTTCCTTAGAAATAGGGAAAGATCCATTTAGATCGCGGGATATTGGGGAAAAGATGTTGGGACCAGAGATCCCATATCTCAGTGTCATTGGCGCACTTATGTATCTTGCAAATTGCACCAGGTCTGATATCGCATTTGCAGTGAACTTACTAGCTAGGCATAGTGCGGACCCAACTCGCCGTCATTGAACGGGAGCGAAATATATCCTCAGATACCTTAATGGCACAGAGAATCTTGGTTTATTCTTCAAGAAAAATCATGATCCCAGTATGATTGGTTATACTGATGCTGGTTACTTATCTGATCCTCATAACTGAAAATCCTAAACAGGATTTGTATTCCTACATGGAGGTACAACTATTTTATGAAAATCTTCTAAGCAGACTCTAACAACGACCTCTACTAATTATTCTGAAATTATTGCTCTATACAAGGCATCACGAGATTGTGTTTGCCATCAGTGGATGGATGTGGATGATGACAAGCTCGCTCCATCGATCGGCCACGGAGTAAGCAAGCCCGCAGCTGCAGCAGCAGCAGCAGTCTCCGGTGCTGCCATGGCGTCCTGCAGGTCGCAGCAGGCTGCCCCGCACCTCCGGCACAGCGGCGGCGGCGATGGCGAGATGACGGAGCCGACGATGGTGGCGCGGCAGGAGGGGCAGCTGGCGTGGGCGGTGAGCCAGGTATCGATGCAGGCCCCTTGGAAGCCGTGGGCGCAGCGCGGCAGCACGCGGAGTTGGTCTCCCTCCGCGAACGCCGCCAGGCAGATGGCGCACTCCTTGTCGTCCTCTCTTGTCCTTCCTTTCAGTTTATTCAGGGAAGAAGAGACGGAGACGGTGGGCAGCGCCTCGATGGCCGCCTTCTCCAGTCCCCTGGGCGGCTGGGCGGACGACCTGCCGCCAGAGCTGTTGCCGCCACTACTGGCCACCAGTGACACAGAGGCTCCTCCTCCTCCTCTGCGGCAGGCGCACCGGGCGACGAGCGCAAGGCCGGCCACGCAGATGAGGGCGCAGAGGAGGGACGCCAGGATGACCACCGTGTTGGAGTCCACGGAGATGGCCTGCTGCTGTTGCTGCTCCTCTGCATGAGCATGGAGCAGGAGAGGCAAAGAAGCAGCCGGAGATGGGGTGTCAGAGATGGCTGAGTGGAGGAGGCCCGCCGGAGTGCGCATGGTAGCTTAGCTTGTTGTCCGGCCACGGCCAGGCCAGCAAGGCGAGGGGTTTCAGTCTACTACTACCACCGAGGCGAGCACGACCAGTCTGGGTCTGGTTTTATAGACAGACGGAGACGGGAAAGCAACACGAGACGCATACAAGACTGTCTGTCTGGGAGATGAGAAGTAGCAGCAGGTGCACATGCAGAGTCAAGCACAAGGGTGAATCAGGAACTAGAGATGCCACCACGACACGGCTAACGAAGTGTACGTAGATAGAGTATATTATCATACTAAACAATCTAGGGTACTATATATATGATAAGTATCAGCCTGTTCGACTGGGGCTGAAACGATCGTATACGATCGTTGATTATTACTGCTGGCTGATCTTGTGTGAGAGAAAAATACTGTTCTGGCTGAAAATTTACGATCGTTTACGACTAAACGAACAGGCCGTATGTATGTATACTTAGAGTATATGGTTATACTTATTTTATATGCTACTATCATAGTATTATATAATATATTAAAAAATATGTGCTCTTTTGAATTTTTTTTCACATAATAAAGATCTGGAGCATCTTAATATTAGTATGTCAACATACTCAAATTGATAAATGAGTATGTACATATACATAACGTGATTTATTGATTATAGGAGTAACTACTCCCAGGAGTGTATAAAATACATATATATGGAAAAATTTTCCTACTCACTAGAGTAGCTCCCTCCTCCTAGGCACACACGAGAGGCTGGCTGGTCTGTTACCGCAGCTAACGGGTTAAAAAAAAACTTGACCCGTTTGTACCTACCGTCGGTACGCGCAGTATGCGTATATACGTGAATTTAAAAATCAGCGTACGAGCGGGTGTCCGGATAATTAGCGTGGAAAACGGATTTGGGAGACGGTGGGTCGAGTATATACGTAGGCACAAATCATGGCTGACTGCATCTTCGTCCTCATCTAGCCAGTTTGTCTTCGCATACAGAACACTAGTCCACTCATCCACTTCCTGTCGCCGACGAGCTGGTGCACGCCAGGCCATCGACGGCGGCGCGGCCAGGCCCGGCGACGGTGGCGCTGCCAGGCCCGCGCGTATCTGCCGCTAGGCCGTGTGCGCTGCCTCCGCCGGGCGGGCGGGCTTATCCAACTCGAGCGACGCCTCTGTTCTCGTGCGCTGAGTCGACAACGAACAGTCCATACCTCCTCTGAAATCTGAATTAGGATTACCGATTACAGCACCATCAATCCATTCGTGTATTTCTCATTTAGTTTGTTGTTAATCCGTAGGCAAATCTCTTGCTCACTCGTGTTGCTTGTTTTTCGTGATCAAGAGCGTCTAGCCCCCCGTCTGTCATGTGTGTTGCTCATCCGTGTTTGCTTGTTTCCATCTCAATTCACTAATCCTTCTTGTTGTGTTCGATTTGTTAATTCCAATTTAATATCCTTGCAGATTGCAGATCCGAATAGGAGGCTTATCCTTGCAGACTGCAGATCCGGTTGATTCCATTGATCTTGGCTCCGTTCGCTTCGCCGAAAAAAAGCCGAAACACTGTTCTGACCGATTTGTTGTGAGAGAAAAACACTATTCCAGCTAAAAAAGCCGAAAAGTACGGATTATAAGACAATCGCACTACTACTTAAATCAAATCATCTTATCTTGGATACAAGGCGTTCTCTCGTTGCTTCTCTGCACTTGTCGTCGACAGTCACTATGAATTAAAAAGAGTATTCTTGGATACTATCTTTCAGAGAAGAGTATGTTTAGATATTTTTCCAGAGAAGTGTATGTTAGAAAAGTATGTTTAGATACTTTTTGAAAAAAGAGTATGTTTAGATACTTTATCACAGAAGAGTATCATCGGATACTCTTTTCATAAATTAAGTATCATTCGATACTTCAATATGATTGTATCACTCGATACGTTTTTAGATTATAGCAGTGGCAATACATTGTTCTACATTTTTTTACCAAAGTTTGTTCTACATTTTCCCATTTTTGGTGCAAGTATGTTTCATACTACTACAGTATTATATATTTTTTTCTCCGAGTAATGTACTCTCATTACTCAGCGTTGATGTACGTATGTACATGTACTCCCAAATAATTAAATAATTTTCTATGTATGTATACATACTTCCAAATAATTAAATAATTTACTACGTACGTATACATACTCCCAAATGATACTACGTATGTATACATACTCCCAAATATTTAAATAAATATATATATATATATATATATATATATATATATATATATATATATATATATATATATATATACTATTATAGTACAGAAGACTACCAAAGCTGATGCAGTGAGCCAACTGTACGCTTCCAAACCAGATGAATAGTTCTGGTTCTGTACCACATACATGATGAAAAGAGACTGAATAGTTTCCAGTTTGCATAAAAATGGATTAATGGTATCAACACTCTCCAGTACAGTACAGAATTGGTAGCTTAAGAAATGATGCTAATAAGACCCTACACAAACACTTCTGAAAAGTGGATTCTCATCACATTTCAAATCTAACATCCCATTTCCCATCCATATAAGCATTCAGCGTCCAACTGTTTTCTCTAAGCTGGAAATAAGGCACCTGCAGTCAAATAACAATAAAGTATTGTCGAACAAGCTGAATAATTTTAAAAGATCACGACAAGGCACAAAGACAATCTCTTCTCTCTCTCTCTCTCTCTCATGTTTAGCCCCAAATCAGTAGCATCAGACCAAATGTACTATTTTTTTTAGAGCATACTACTTCGAAGTACATCAGCAAGATAGATAGCCACAACAAAAAGGGAATGCCTTGATACAACAACAAACTAGGATGCTACGAATGTCAAACACCAAGAGGTGTTAAAAACAGCACATCAATTTACTTGCACTCAGGGCGATACACATGTTTTCCCCAAAGGTTTCTCCAGTGAACATATGGTAACCTCGCTGGTGACAGATAAACAATCCCAGCTGTAAATTTATTTTTAGAGAAAGTGCTCTGCGTTAATACTGCCCACAGAAAAGAGTGTCTAACTAAGTCAAAATGATCCGGACAGAAGCAATCATGTTAATGTGCTATGGTCATAGGCAGGAGTGAACCAGCATCACCCAGAGGATTGTAAGGCGAAAAGAATCAGAGAAATAATTTGCAATCTAACTGAAACTTATATGACTAGATAATTCACTCAGCTTGTGAATATTTGTGGCTTTTCAGCCTGTTCGCTTGTTGGTTTCAGCCAGGGCTTATCAGCTATGGTACAGTATTTTCCTCTTACAACAAACCAGCACCAGCCGAGCTTATCAGCCCAGAAACCAACCAGCGAACAGGCTGTTTGAACACTGCATTTGTTCATGGTTAATCATGTTTCACCACCCTACACCCATGCATTCTACTCTCTGCATAAAAAAATCGCTAAAAGGAAGCAGCTGTTTAGGCGGTTTGCTTGCCGATGGAACATTTTGCATCTCGTGCATAAATGAAGCGGCTGGTAATACGGATGGTCTGATTACCTTGTCATACAATTCGTAGCCAACTTTGAGCCTTACATCTTGGCCCTGTTTGAAGTCAAGTATGGTCCAGGCCAATTCAACGGCTCCAGCTGTCTTTGTCTGCAAGGACCAAGGAGCACAGGCTGAGACCGAGAGCAAGGTTGTGGTGTGGTTAATAAGATCACACGGGACAGGACAGGACTGACAGGAGGCGTATTTTTGCTTTGCTATATGCGAGAAAGTTACCGGCTTGAACTCTTTGTCGATAAGTAGGCGTCCTTTGAGGTTTAGGCCTAGGAAGCCATTGTCTGGTTTGAACAGGACGGCCTTCTTGGCGCGAAGGCTGTAGGAGAGGTCATCGCCGTTGTGCAACTGGACGCCAGCTCCGAGGTTGGCTGATAGCTAGACATGGCATTTTTATTTTTATTTTTGGCAAATTGGTTTGGTTATAACTTGTAAAAGGAAGGATTGGTTGGCAGGCATGGAGAGGGAATGAGCTGACGGCTGACCTGGGGGTAGAAGTGCCTGACAAAGAGAGCGAGGTAACTCGGGGCAGTAACTCCGGCGGGGCTTTTGTGGAGGTCGAGCTCCGCATGAGCCTGCGCGGCAGCCGTGGGATCGAATCGAACCAAACACAACCGAACCCAATCAGTTGAGATGAAATTGAGAGGGTCAGACGACTGAATGAATGTTACAAGGCAGAAACTAACTAGAGGGAAGAGGAGGAAGGGCAGCTACACCTGCAGCAGCGAGCTGTGTCCGAGGGGCAGCTTCTCCTTGGCGTGGATGCGGAGGCCGCCGCCACTGCGCAGGCGCAGCGAGGTCTCCATGGGCGGGCAGCGGGCGTGACCGCTTGAGAGGGACAGAGCGACAGAGCAGCAGCAGAAGCAAGCAGCTCCCGCAGTCGCGCCACGATAGGTCCGGTAGGGTTTAATCTGAGACTCCGGCGGCGGGGGCGGACTGCGACGTGGCGAGGCCGAATTGCCTATTAGCCGCCGCCTGCGGGTAGGATAGGGGGGACGAGGAGAGATGATGGGCCATGGGCGGGGCCGGATAGGCCGGGGCCCATCATCATACCACAGCATTTTATGGGCTGGGATGGGATGGGCTGGCCGGCGGCCGCTCTGGGCTCCCTTTCACTCCCTTTTTCTGAGGCTGGCCTCGGACCTTGTTGCCTTTTTGCCTTTCATTTTCCCCATTTGCCAATATAGCAGGAAAACATCCTTTCATTTAAAAGGGACTTGCTAAAATTCATATGCCTAAATTTTAGCTTCCTTTCGGATGATAGTTATTACATATATTTTATACTAAAATTGTAGCTTTAGATCATTGTAATTTATATAGGCATACTCTGCAATTTTCGATTTATATAGAGACTAATATACCCTTTAAACAATAAACAAAACCACAAACTCGACAAAACCTATGCTTGCACAAAGAAAATTAACAATTTAAAATTATTTCTATAATCAGACAAGAACAAAAAAGTGATAGATTAGATACAAAGACAAATA